TTATATTTATTTTCGGCAATGAACTGTTTATAATTTTATATATAAAATAATTTATCATTCTAAGGTAGATGTGAACGCTATCGCACTAAAATTAGGACGCAGGTAACTATATTTATAATTATATATGCTAATTCTTATATTATATATATCATAAAGCTTTTGATTCGAATTAGCATTACAACCTAATCTCGAAATTTTCATAATTTATTTTGTTACAATATAGAGAGTTTCGCATTCTGATTTCATCAGCTGACTTAATATGAAAGGTTTAACCGTAGGTGGTCTGCAACTTCTTTCAACTAACAATTGAATTTTTCGCATTATGATATTATTAATTAACTTAGTTTGTTAATCGTATAGAGTAATTTTAGAAAATATATAGATCGCTGAATTGATATGGATAAATTGAACCTAATTGAAAGGTTTAACAGTAGTTGGTCTGCAACTCAGTTCCAACTAACAATTAAATTTTTTGCATTATGATTTCATCAGCCGACTTAGTTTGTTAATCGTGTAGAGTAATTTTAGAAAATATATAGATCGCTGAATCGACATAGTTATATTGAAAGGTTTAATAGTAAGTAGTCTGCAACTCCGTTCCAACAAATAATTAAATATAATCAGGGTAATACAAATTATTGATAATAAAATATTCTCGATTAAATATAAAATGGAAGCTTTTTACATTTTTAAGTAAAATTTAACACATTAAAAATTAAGAAAATGAGATTCCGTATTAATATTTTCTGGATATTTGTTGAGTATTATAATGATAAGCAATTAATTAAATATTATCTATTTTAACGTCCTATAATGAAAACAGCATAAGAATAAATCCCTGTTTGGACGAAAATTTTATAGGGATCGGACGAAAATTTTATTGGAATTGGATAAAAATTTTATCTGGATTTTATATTAGTCACCTGATCTTATATTTCATATTGAATCTAATATGCCGAAATCAATACCTTAAACAAAAATATAAAAAAAAAATAAAATAAAAATAGAATAAAAAAATTGTGTAAATAAAATTTTGTCATTGGTTTTTCATCATTTATTTACACTTAGAAGCAATAAATAGAAGATAAACAAACATAGTAATATTAAAATATTTACAAGTTGAAGATATAAATAGTTGAAATATAAAGGTTTCATATATATGTTGTAGGGTGAGAACGGGATTTAAGTAGGTTTTGAATTTTTAGTTAAATAAGTATTTCGAGTTAGAATTTAATTTATATAAACCTATACCTTAACCCTAAAATTCAAATCTACTTAAATCCTGCTTCCAATTACAAAATACATATTTGAATATGATGTGTTTAATCATAGCATTGAGACTTACACATATCACCAAAAAAAGCTTCCCACCAACCCCTATTCTTGCATAGCAGAGCCAAAAAAAATAATAGACAACCTATTACAATACCCCAGAAGCAATACATTGTGTGAATAATATTTTCGTTATTGGCCTTTTTTTCCCCTTTTATATGACAAATAAATGCAATAGCACTATTAAGTGTCCATATAGAACAGATTACAGTAAGATATGAACTTCTGCAAAAAAATCCGACAGGTGGTGTATTATAGGCCATAAATACTGATAACCAAGGAAATATAATTGATACTAAACCGATAATTATAATCAAGGTCCGTCTAAGTTTTAGATCTTTTTCATTAAGATCTTTTACATATATGTGTTCATCTAACACAAGTTTCTTATTATTTACGTACTCTTGTAGCATATCTTCAGGACTTTTTACTAATATTTTTCCACAAATTGATCTTTTATAGACAACCACAATTGTCCAAGCTAATAAGACAGAAATATATGGCCAATCAGTACATGCACCTGGAGAAAATACTCTTGCTATTCCAGATAATAAGCTAATTATTATATAATAAGCAGAGACTAACGGTGATAATCTTTCCAATATGCTAGCTTCCGCTATGCACTCTTTTATACATTCTTTCTGAGTTTTAGTAAGATTTGATATTGCTTTATAATGATAACCAAAAGGTATATTTCGCACTTTTCCATTGTTATCAGTGATGAATCTTTCTGATGGGAGCCAATATGCAAAAATTGATGTTTCTTTATTTTCTATAATAAATGTATAGAATAATCCAGTGAATGGGCAAGCAAGACATCGTAACATCCATAAGAATTTTTTTTTGAACCCTTTTTCGGGTGATGCCCCGATGATGGCTATGGCCGGTAGGCATCCTAATACAAATTGCGGTACAGGATTTTGAAGTTTATGCATAAAGTTTAATAGCGGCCAGTCATCCATTTTTGATAATCAATTGCTCTCGTATCGTTATAATAATAGTGTGATAAATGATAGACCAAAAAAATTAGTCCTTTAGAATACTGTATGTTCAATCGTAAAGGTAATTTTTTTTAAAAAATATTTACTTAAAAAATTTTAATTAATACCACTTTTTATATCTGTAAAATTCTTTTGATAATAATATTATAATTAGAAAATGGATACGTCATATGATACTAATGCCAAGGCTCATGTATTTACAAAATAAAATGTAATTATATACAGTACTGCGTATGTACGCGGCTTTATTGTTTGGGAAACAAAGGTATTCATCATCAATAAAACAAGTATTGAATCAACATAATACCGCCTCTTACACTTTTACAAATGAAACTTTAATTCGGGCGTAAACGTAAAAATAAATAAATCGTTCTTAACTCAAATTCTAGCTTATGTAATTAACATTTTAGACTACATTTTAAGCTACAAAAAAATTTTCCTCTTAAAGTTTAACAAAAAGCTTAAGTTTTCTAATGGATTGTTCAGAATTAATTTACGGAAAAATTTTCCTTAGTGTAACCTAACCTTATCGATCAAACTCCGTTATCATTATTAAATTTCCTTTTTAATTACAACTTTTTTGCGAATTTCTTTAATAGTTACAATAAAGTATATCCAAAAACATTAAATTTACAATGGCATCCTCTCTTTATTTGTACATAACAATTCAAAATCGATCACAAACTGTAACACCACATTACTAATTTCGGTACATCATTAATTTGACAAATATTGTTATTTTAAAAATGAAGATGATTAATGAATAAAGTCGAATAAATTGATTAACATTTTATTCCTAATTTATTTTATATTTTCTGTTATTTTTTGTCATGATTAGTGGTGCGCAAATTAATGACAATAATATAAAAAAGTTCCGGAAAATCGGCCTTTTCAAATCCAATTAGTCGCAATTAATGATATAATTATGTAACCATTTTACCAGGGCTTAAAATCTGGTTAGTCAATGACTTGTGAAACAGTAGCAATAGTTATATGACTAGCTCTCAAACCCGGGCGATGCTCCGGGGGCTCAGTCTCAATTTTTCTTGTTTTAAATTATTTTAATTTAAGTGAACCTAACTTGGGTTTACTTGAACCCAGATAGGGTTCAAGTAAACCAGACTTGGGTTTACTTGGACCCAGTTCAAGTAGATCGAACTTGGGTTCACTTGGACCTGGGGTGGGTTCAAGTGAACCTGAATTAGATTTAAGTAGACCCATTTTGGGTTCACTGGACCTGAATTGAATTCAAGTGAATCCAGCTTGGGTTCACTTGTACTCGGGTTGGGTTGAAATAAACCCGATTTTGGTTCACTTGGTCCCAGATTGGGTTTGAATGAACCCGATTTGGGTTTATATGAACCCGGGTTGGGTTCAAATAAACTCTGCTTGAATTTGTTTTAAAATTTATTTTTTTTTATTAAATTTTTTATTTTTTTTATTTTTATTTTTTAATTTTTTTATTCTATTTTTATTTTATTTTTTTTTTATATTTTTGTTTGTTTATCTTCTATTTATTGCTTCTAAGTGTAAATAAATGATGAAAAACCAATGACAAAATTTTATTTACACAATTTTTTTAATTTAATAAATTTTTACAAAATCTTCCTGCTAAATAACATAATAGACATTATTGCTGAAGTAAGGCTATCTAGTTTTCATTCTAAATTTTAATTTTACATTTTCATATCAGTAAAATATCAGCTATTTTTATTTGTAAACGATTGTATGTTTTATATTTATATATATATAGATATATTTCATTATTATTTGGCACACTGTAATTTACCATTTATCATAGTTGCTAAGTAAATGTTTTTTCTAAAGTTACAGCCACTAAAACATTTGAAGTTACGACTACATACTTGGAATTACTATTTTGATTCATGAAAACTCTAATTTCAGTGACTTAATTATATGCTTATGAATCACGTACTATAGAAATATATCTAGTAATGGACTGGAATTTGCCCAAATATAAGCCAAAATCCAAAAATCCCAAATATAAGCCAAAATCCAAAAATCCCAAACATTAACTGGTTCATCAACAAAATGACAAAGACAATATGAGGTCTTTCACATTAAAAGGGCCCATTTTGCAAATTTTTTGAAAAATGAGTTTTTATTAGATTCATGTAAAT